TATCTATCTATCTATCTATCTATCTATCTATCTATCTATCTATCTATATATAGAGAGAGAGAGAGAGAAGGGACAGAAAAAGAGAAGTGGGTGGAAATTTTTTTCCAGTGAGCAAAAATGGCTAATGGTCTGCCAGGTAATCATCATCTAAGTTTGAATCCCAGCTCTGTCACTTACTGGTGGATGATCTTGGTCAAGTTATGCAACTTATCAAGTCTCCATTTCCTCATTTGTAAAACAAAGATAATGATAACATCTACCTCATAAAGTTACAGTGAAGATTAACAGAAATAATTCATAAGAGGTATTTAACAAGCTACCTGGTACAGAAGAGCTCAATAAATGTTAGCTATCCTTATGTAGCTGATTATAGGTAGATAATTACTAGCAAGTCATTACAGGTGTGTGGCTCTTTTCACTTCCCTAGGGGTATGGTGACTTTGGCCTCTCAGCTTTAAAACGGCATAGTTCACTCTATCAAGAAAGAGTTTTAATAATTTGTTAAAAATATACGTGGATTTAATGAATATTTATAAAGTATTCTGAAACATTATTAGACTTTAATTAATGCAAATTAATAAAAATGCCCCAGCTGATCGACATAGTCAAAAATAAGTTTTCTCATTTATTCCTGGAAATGCTAGATGTAATTTAAAATTTGTTATTTAACTCTCCTAGAGAAAAGAGTAATTGACTTCTAAACTTACTCCTTCAAAACATCAAAAAATAAAGATGACGTTCTTAGTAGACCCTCTTGATTTATCTATTTTAACTCTGAATCATTCTAAAATTTGTATTTTCTCAGCTCCTAACAATATTATGAAGATATTCCTGTCTGAAAATAACTACATAGTCACCCCATTCTCTGTAGGAATATTACAGTTGGGATCTCTGTTTAAACTGAATTGGGACTACCTGTGGGCACTGAATTCTATTTTTCTTGCTTTCTTCTCTCTCCAACTTATCATGCTAGGTATAAACATACATATATGCTTTGGAATACTAACACAGATTTGTGTCCAACTTTTAGGCTTAGAATAATTTCTTCACAAAGTTGCTGAAAGGCTCAAAACATTCTAATGTCAAATTTAGACTCCACAGTTATTGACAAGATCATACTGAGTGCAATGGCTTTAACTTCTTTGAACTTCTGTCTCTTTAAATAAGCTGAGAACAGTGAAATAAGAGAATGTATATGTATATACCTAGCATGACAACATAACATAAACATTAATATTATGTTCTTTGTGGTGAGATGGAACCAACTAATTCAGTCATTTTGGACAAATTGCTTAATATCTTAAGGACTCAGTTAAATGGTGATACTAATCTAATATTTTAGTTAAAATATTACATGGTGATAACAGGATGTATTTCTTAGGCCATGTTATGCCTGGAGCATAGTAAATACTTATTAAATATTATTTTAAAATATTCAACAAATGCTCTCTTTCATTCTTCCAAATGAGTGACATGGTATTAAGTTCCAAAATTAATTCTTCTGGAAAAATATAATTAATACCTTATTAAAACACATAGGAACCAGGAACATGTGGAACATCATGTGATCATGTCTAAGTGCTCTGTAATCACTCCAGGAAACAAACCGAAACAAACCAAACCAAACCAAACCAAAAGGGCAATGTTCTTAATTTCTTGCATTGCACCAAGCAGAACATCTCTCCTCCTTGGGGAAGATGTTTAGTGCAAGAGAAGTGAGCAGAGGTGGATTCTACCCATTCATCCTTGTGGAAGCACATGCAATTTGAGAAGATGAAGTGAGGAAGCGCATGCAGTACCTGGTCATCTCAGAGTCAGGGAGCAGGCCTAGGTGGTAGTGTGAATAGGGAGCTGAGAGAAGGAAGCTTTTGTCACACTCAACAGGGGAATAGTGCCTGGGAGAAGCAGGCTTATCACATAGTTTGTTCACAGTGCTGTAAACAGGTTCCGGAGGCCTGGTGATACAAGAGGAAGAGAAAGATATGCATGGTTAGTACATAAAAGGAAGAACTGTGCAATCAATAGCATTTCACCATATGCAAAAGTAAGAACAATGTCATTTATCTTGATTTGTTATTAAAAGAAACCCATTTTCCACTTGTAGCTTTTCTTATAATGAAGACTTTATTCCTTAGATTCTTGTGGGTAAATGTGGCCCCAAGAAAATGTTCAGCCCAGCGTGATTTGAGTGCTCTGAAGCATTGGGTGAACTGGAATAGCTGCTTATAAAGAAGCTCGTTTAGCTGGAATTCTTGAAATTTTGTTCTCTCCCATTTCTTCCCTTTACTGATCTGGAAACCCAGATATGATGGGTGGAGTTTCACTGGTTATCTCAGACCATGAAGCAAACTTGGGGATAAAGCCAAAAAATACACATAATGAAATCTATGGAGTGGCACTATACCAACTCTGGACTATCTACCTTTAAATTTCTTCTATGTGGATAAACTCTGTTGTTCAGATTAAGATTTTTTAGTTATATAAATAGGACTTAATATTAACAGATAAAACTCCTACAAAATTTAAGACTGCACATCTAATACAAAGAAATAACTACAAATAGGGCCTACTATAAATGCTAATGTATTTCATTATATTTGGAGTCCACCTAATACCCTCTGTGTACATAGGAAATGTAAAGAATGCTATTTTCTTTTCATGTAATTTGGGCCTGTGACTATTTGGAGAAATCTCTGCATCTTAATTTGAAAATGTTGGTATACATAAAATGGTAGTTGATCTAAACTGCTACCACAGAACCTTAGAAAAAAGGAATCAATTACTTCTTTTAGGTCATAAAACATTCTCATGATAATGTCATTTCGGTAACATTGTTGTTTCTGCCTAGGAGGGCTGATCCAATTTTCTCAGTCTGATGTTGTCTCTACAGACTAAGAAAATAACGTTTGTAATTTTCTCCTACTCTTTTTACCTCAGTAGCAGCATATTTTGAGTCAAATTTTCACAATCAAAGCTGGCTAACGCAGATCTTTTAAAAATTTCTGGTTATATTGTATTCAACCAAATTAAGAGAAAATAGCTTACTTTCTGAAAACTACAATAAATTCAAGCTAATGAAAATGAGGTTTTCTTCATTTCCTATTTTGTCCAGGGCTGAATTCTTGAAACTTTTATTTGAATCTTTTTGCAACCATTTTATGAATATTGTCATTTGATTCACATATTTAGTAGATTTGATGTTTGGGGCAGGCTTTAATACTTTGGATTTTAGAAGAAGGCTCTTATTCCTTTGCTTTCAGTCACCTTCAGTATGATTTCATAGTGGACTGATTACTTGCTAAGGTTAATTCTTCACTGTTCAAAGTCTTATCAACACAGAGAAACAGTTACTGATATTGCAGATTCATTTTACCTTGGTTTCACCTTCTATTTCTTATTTATTTACTTGTTGTTTTGTACATTCACTGGCTAAATAATAGACATATCAAAACCAGTTTCTTTTCTTGGTTGTGAGAACACTTGCTATCTCAGATGGGTAGATGAAAAGATACCAAAACATGACTAACCACTTGACAAATTTGACAGTCTTCTTGCAATATTGGCAAAGTTCTCTTACAATTAAACATTAACAATATCAGTGAAAATCTCCTTTCAAGTGGCATAAAAATACGGTTCACATTTGAAGATTTCTGTCTAATGGTTTTATTACAGAATATATTCTGCATATATTCTATCACATAGTATGTACATTATGTATGAGAGCACAGTACAGTAAACACTAAGTACAACATGGACCACAATCTGAACACAGATGTTTTTTTGAATGAATAATTTTTTTTTTTTACCATTCTTTGTTGAGAGAAATTTTAAAAAACCTTCTGGTTCTTTCAAGGGAGACTTAAGTTACTGAGTTTCCTAAACAAGTCTAAATTTTTTAGGCCATCATAAATTTTCACAGGTTATACCAGAAGAACCAGAATCCCAATGTTATCATAAACTGACTGGCTTTAAGGACTTAATTAAAGCATGTGCACATGGCTTATCTGCCCTCAGAGGGACAGGTTTCTTGTGTGTTTGTGTTTAGCCACTGCAATGGCTGCCCACAGTTCTTGTGGAGTCACTCCAATGGGCATAGTGGGCTCCTCACAGACTTCTCAGCCTTCAGTTCCAGAAGGCCTAATACTGGGAGTTAGCATTCTTAGTCTTTCCCTGCAGTTATATTCTGTGAGACATCTCCCCATCAGACAAACAAGAAATGCCAAATTATAAACTGTCACTGGGATCTGGGTGGCAGAACAGATGCCACCATCACTTCCCATTTAGCTGATAAGGAAGTGCTGAGGGGAAATGACTTTGGCAGCATGAATCAGCCAGTCATAACTGAAAGGGCCTGATTATCCTATTATAAGTGGCCAGAGTGGCCTAGTTAGTTCAGGAGGTAGAGAATATGGAAATCCAGTCCCAGAAGCCTATTAGCTATCTTCATTCTGTGGATGCCACCAGGAGGAGGGAAGAGTAGTTGAAGATATTAGTGCAATCTCTAAGTGAGTTTATAAACAAATCATTTATCTTGTTGTCCATTTATAAAGAGCCATAGATAATGACTTTGTAGCTCATCTTCAGGGCCATCAGCGTTTATTTGCATATCTATGAGTTTATAATTGCAGGTTCTTGTAGCATATAATTAGCACACCCTGGGCTTTGGTGATCTCTCTTTTCTCTGAACTCCATTAGCACTTGCTGTTTGTTCTACTACCTTGGCATTTTAAATTGCTAATCCACAATTCTAGTGTACGTTGGAGGGGGGTGCTTCATCTGTATCTTATTTTAGGAGAAACTACCTTGGCTGTAACTGCTCCTCCCATTTGGACTACTTGTCACTACCAAATTCCGTTTCCTCCCTAACAAAAGCAGTTTAATTGGGCCCCTCACCTTGCAACCATGACCTGTATGGTAGAGAAAAAAAAAAAGGCCTAGGCCATTTGGATTCTCCTACAGAAGGTGAATAATGTGAATAAGGGAGAAGAAATGATCAGTTAACAGAATAAGGAAAAGATGCAAACATGGAGAGGGTAGCTGTAGCTGTGTTCACTAATTATAGAGCCCCAGGGTAACGCGCTACCAACTTTTGTTGCTAAAATGTCTAGAGGTTCCTTGAGTCTAGAATAACTGTCAGGGTTCATTGTTTCAGGGGGTTATGAGAGCTCATGCTACTGAATTTCTTTGGTGATTCCCATATGACATTAGTTGTAAAATGAAAATCAACTACCAATCTCCCACCCTGTGCCCTTATTAGAAGTTAGATCTGGTCTCATGTTTGCAATCGATAGAGTGAAAAATCAAACAGACACCTTGTTTTATTTCACATCGCTTTCATATCACCTCTACTAGACTATGCTTCCCAAAGCCAACAGACAAAACCTTAGGCTCCTATGTAATTATATAGTACCTGAGTCTAATACCAGATTGATTCTGTCTTTAAAAGTTTGATATTTTGTTCATTATAAATTCCTTTGCAATTTTATTTTCTAATATATCTCATTAAAATATTTTTGTATTACTGCGTCTCCTTAAATTTTGTACCCGAGTACCTCACTCACCTCACTATAGTCCCAGCCCTGTATCAGAGATAATAAATGTTTAAGACAGTGATGATAATGACTGTGATTGTAAGTAGTCTTCATCTGTGTAGCATCTGAAGATGAAACTTCAAGGTCAAAGGAATATGACTCTCTTCTCTTAGAGTTAACAACAAGAGTGACTTACCCTTTACTGACTTTTCTAACTCCCTAACAAAGGGCTCTCAAAGCCTTCAGGCTGTCTTAGGCAGGGCTCTACCTCATTGTACACTCTTAGTTCACAGTGCCCTCTCCCTTTCTACAATATTAGATCCTGGAAGATCAGGATCAAATATCATGTGTCTTTGTTTCTGTTGGAGGTGCACAGCAACATATTCAAGCTTATGTACATGGCATTTCAGGTCAGGGCATGGAAAAATACTGAGGCACTTTGTATATTATTTGTGCATGGGAAGGAAACTTCTTGAGCCTGAAAACAAGACAGGGAGTGGAGTGTGTGGTGGAATAAAGAACGCTGAAAACAGCGTCCTGAGACTGCAGTTTGAACGTGTACAGGGTCACAGGTGCCTCAGCAACCCACCTCAAATGACCATCTAATGGATGTTTGTAGTTAATACAAGCCCTTTCAATAAATACTTGGTGGATGGATGCTCTCCAAAGAGCTACCCCCAGCTCCGCTCAGGTGGAACTGTCTGAGTACGTTGATCTTGGTGTTCACTGCAAGCCATAAGCTCTGCAACTGGTGCCCTCAGTGTGATTGCCTTGAATTTATGCATGAAGGGGAAGAGCTCATCAATTTTTGGGGAGTCCTGGTAAGTGAGAGTCCTGACTCCCATCAGGAGGACGCAAAGCACGCATAAAATATAAGGGGCTAGGTTAAGGGTCAACAAATGACCAAAGAGCAGAAAGTATTTTTAAAAACACTGCAACAGCTACGTAAAGCTATCCAGTGGACTGTACAACCTGGAGCTCTACATGCTGTTAATTCAGCAGGAATGCCCTTGGTTTCCTGATAAAGGAACCTTAGATTTAGGGTTATGGGAGCTGGTAGGTCGCTGCCTGAAAAGAGATATGAGCAAGGTCATTTTACTAATGTTACTATTTTGGCCATCTGGGCGCTGGTACGCTCTGCATTGTATCATCTTTATCTGCTAGATGGCCGTGAGTCAGACTGCCCATCTTCTCCACCTGAAGAAAATTCAGGAGATTTAAAGGAGAAGGAAAAACAGAAACCAGAACAGCAGGGAGAGATTTGTCTCCCCTCTTCTCATTCCCTTCTATGGGGAATAAGAGACTTTTTCTAGTGAAGATAAGGATGGATCCGAGACTTTTCCTCCTCCTATAGAAAAACCATTGCCCTCTTTTCCTCCACCCTTAAAGGGACATGCATTTGTTGGCCCCATTCAGTCAACAGT